GCCCTTGGTTTAGCTTACCGACTTTATTCGACCAGATATTAGTCGCCTATTATTATAATTGTAAATGGAAATATCAAACTGAGATTTTTGGCACAATAATAGGTTATAATGTCTAAGTTTTATTATATCATCAATGCCTGCATAATTTTTATATTTATCACTCAATTCAATGAAATCTAAAACAATTAATATCAGAGAATAAGCTTGGTTTTGTAATTTTATACTCTAATAAGAATTTCTGGTGCAATAAAATAATTTCAAGTGGTTAATATATATAGTGAAATGAGCAATACAATTTTTCAGTAAGAATCGCGTTACAGTTGGTTTTTGCTATTATTATTATAATGCAAAATATAATAATATTAGATAGTGAAGGGTTATCTATATTTTTTGTTCAAAATGGTTTTTCTAAATTGTATTGCTCATTTTTTGCTATTATTACTGAAAAATATCACAGATAGTGATATAAAGAAAATGGTTCAAAAGCGTAATGAAAATTTCTGTCCAACAACAAACAGAGCGTGTTAGGACTAAATCACAAGCAAAGCATCTCTAACCACCCAATCATTAGTCATAACCATTTTATCCTCCAATTTATTATTATTATTATTATTATTATTATTATTATTAGTATTATTATTGTTATTATTTGAAGTGGTTGGCATCAAGGCATGTAAGTTAAATTCCTACACCTCAAGATTTCATGTCCACCTATGTATCAATTTTTATCTACTTTTTAATTTTGTATTTGGGCGTTTTTATCATCTCCTAACAATCTAGCTACTCAAAGATTCCAATAACAAATATTATATCCAGTTAGCATTAGACTATGAAAACTAAAGATTCATATTTATAATTTCGAAATTCTAATTTAATTTTGATGCAAAGAGAACAATGCAATAAACTATGGATTTCAGGCGATAGTGATCTCATGGCGAGATGAACGTGAAAGTAGATATATTTACAATTAAATATCACAAATTCTTGTATGAATCAGTTTAACTTTTAAGCGATTAACTTGACATACTTGTTTTTTATAATATGATATTTCAATTTAAAATAATAAATATATGAGTGAGAAAATATATTGCATTAGGCCAACTTTTACAGACATGTACTTCTATACATAAATTTGATATGTTTTGATTCATATGTCCGTTAATTAATATCATTATTACTTTGAGTCCATTTTACACAAATACAAATATTTGTGTAAAGTTTATTTGACATCCTGTCCAGGAACAATATAAAAACGTTAGCACGCTTGTCGTTTCTGAGTTTGTAAATGAAGCCATCCATTATTGTTTTTTTCTTTAAGTTTAATCGTTTTTTTGTTAAATAAAGTTAAAAGATAGGGTACTTCAAAGATATTGAGGACTGTTTTTAAATGAATTTTATTATAAAAATCTGGATTAGCTAGCTCTAAAAGGAACCTTAATTGTACCAACTTATGCATTTAG